TTTTTTTATAAAGATTAATTGGTTCAATACTTGATTTATTTGTTGTTGCTGTATGTTTAATTAAATCATATGTATCGATATTTAATTGTTTAATATCATTCATACATTGATCAATATTCTGTGATAAATTAACTAATAATTTGCTATTATTAGATACGGATTTTGATGATTGTACTCGAGCTCGTTGAATATGATTAAGAAAAATAGCTCCAAAATCTGGTTTACATATTCGACCATCATGTAATGATGACATTGTTTTTCGACGAAGAATTGTTTGTAAACCGGGAAGAACATCATAATCAAAATGTGTTAGTATACAAGCATCAATACTTTGTAAACCTCGAATTAAATTCCAATATGAAGGAATTCGACTAAAAAGAAAAGATTAGAATGTTACTATCGAAATTTTAAAAGAAAGTTGCTTTCTTAAAAACCCTGTATTTTGGTAAATTTTCTTACCTAAATCCTCCATTGACTAATACAACAAAACCTCGAATACCAAATAATGATGCTTCTCCTTGTTGTCCATATAATATATATAAATTTGGTTCATCGAAAGCAACTAGAACAAATGAAAGTAGAGGAAATTATTATTCGAAATTTATTTTCATACTTGTTCCTGAACTATCTCTTGGTATTAATTTCGTATAAATATCAAAATTAATAGTATCTTTAGTTAAAATTTGAATCAATCGTTCATAAAATTGTTTACCAAATAGATCTTTTTCTTGACTTTCATTAGATACATCATCAATTTGTATATTTTTCAATTGTTTTTGTTTTAATAATCGTGTCCATTGAGCAGATACATATGGTAATATTATTTGTAAATCTTGAATAGCATATGTAGAATTATCTTCAAGTAAATTATGTAAATGATCTGATGTTAATAGTGAATCAGTTAAAATAAATGCTCCATTCGAATCAATTTGTTGACCTAAGAAAATTTCTTATTTATAAATAAAAATAAAATAATTTTATGTTATTTTACCACAAAAAATAATTGAAACATGATAACAATTATTAAAATAATCTTTAAGTACATTTAAAACAGTATGAAAATTTGGTAAATAAAGAAATCCAGCAAGTGACCCATTCTCTAAATTTACTATTTGTCGATATTGTGAATCTGTTTGTACGAAAGATAAAAAATCAAAATGAAATTTTTTTTGAAAATAAAATAATTAACCTGCTTGAAAATCATTATTAGATATTAAATTATTGAAAAGTTCTTGTATCGGTAAATATTTATTAGAATTTATTTGTTGAAATGCATTTTTAAGATAGATAAATATTTCATCACGTTGTTGATTAGAAATAATATCTCCAAATATTAATAATAAACCAACAGTAGATTGTTTCTGATCATTATTATCATTCATTGCTGTTGCCATTTTATTAATAAATAACAAAAATGTAAATTAGAGAACACGAGAGTGACAGATGCAATGAATATAATTATCGACAAATATGTTAATATCCAATGAGGTTCTTTTTTTGTCTTGTTTGTTCTGTTGTATTTTTAGAAATAGTCAAGAAAGAGAAAGGAAAAAAAAGGTATAACATTATAACAGTAAATTTTGTGAGTCATATACATGATTTTTATTGGATAGAGAAAAGTAAACCAATAGAAGATAAATCACGGTCATAGGCAGATTTTCAAAGGTGATTTGAAAGATTTGCTTCTGATTCTTTATGAATTATAAGTTAGTAAAACAAATGAAGAGTAGAAAAAAGAAAGGATTCATTTATGATTATATTTAGAAGCCATAGTTTTTGTATGATTAATTTTTTAATCATCCGGATTCTTTTACGAGTTAATAATCCTATTGAAGCAATTCATAATATACCGAACATTCAATTCTTGTTTTCATTGCTATGCTACATTTATTTTTAAATAAACATATTATTCATAACAAAAACTACAGAATGTATTGCAACTTCTCTAAAATGTCACGTCTTTTTTTTTACATAATTTCATAGTCCAATGATTGTATAAAAATACATTAATCTAGAATATATTTAAATGTAGATGGCTATGTACGTCGACTACATGAATAACAAATATTGTATTACTAATTGTAAAGTTGAAAATAATCAATCTCAAATCTAATCTTACAGAAATTGATTCTTGGCGCTTAATGATTACTAGAGATATATATTTTACTTAGTAAAAAAAAGAAAATTCTAGTTAATTATGAAGTGCTGTGGAACAAGCAATAAATTACATATGAAAGAATGTGAATTTTTAAATGAAGTTGGTGAAAATCAAGATTTTTTGTAAGTTTTTATGTTTTTATAAATATTTATTTCATTTTATTCTTTTATTATGAAATAAAAGAAACCTAATACAACAATGTAAAAATGATGAAGGTTTAATTGATCCAGAAATTTTAATAAAAGAAATGGAAAATTCTTCAAATGAATATTTAAAACATAATGCTGAAGCTGTTCGTAAAAAATTAAAAAATTTTTTACCAAAAGATAAAAACGATCAAAAACATGTTTTAGAAGAAAATTTACTTATCAATACACTTAAAGGTGGTATGCAAGATGCAATCGATAAAGTTAAATCACCAAGAAATAGTTTACAAAAATAAATAAAATAAATTCGATTTGCAAGAGTTTTTTTTGTAAAGAAATAGCTTGTTGCTTGAATATCGTAAAATAAGTTAACAGTGTGTATATGTACACAATTTGATATGTAAACATTTAAATACGATCTGTTATTGCATTTATTTTACCATTAACTTAATTGATATTTAACGATCATGCGATTAGGTTAACAGAAAATATTGGTTATAGTAAACATCATTCCCAAATGCTTTTTCAAGCTGATAAAGGCCAAGTATAATATTGATATTCGTTTATGCTTTTAGAAAATATTCTTAACTGAATTATTTCGATATTAGGCTTTATTTAGAAGGTAAACAGTATGTTTAGAAGCGAAGAGATAAAAAATACTATTGACTCAATGAATGAATACTTTTGTAGTTACAAGGGTCAAAAACGATTTCGGAGACAAACGCATAGTAGAGGTGGGACAAAGACAAAACGTACTAGGTGATCGGATTCGACTATTTTTTTTACCATTTTTACCGGGAGTCCGTAAAATATGTTGGTCAGAAAATTATAATTTTAAAAAATACAGGGTAATCGGAACGAAATGCTCGACAATATATTAAGTATTGTCACGAAATCGAGTGACGGTGTGGATGTGGATGTGTATTATGAGCGAAGAATGACTTATACACCCACACCCACACCCTCTCTTTCCCGTAAACGGCACAAAATCGTAAATTCCTGTAGTCTCACAGGTTGTAAAATATCCCATACCCTCTTCCCGCTAGATCATTAAGTATATTGAATTTTGATCGTATAAGATTTTTACTTGAAGTATGAACGAAAAATTATATATGTATATTTTGTTTTCTCTTGTTTATCAATAAATGTCGAAACTAAGTTCATATACAAACAACACAAGTTTTTTTTTCTACAACATAAACATAACTACAGAAAGAAGAATCGCGTATTCTTTCACAAACAGAACATCGCACATACATATATTTAAAAGAAAACAAACTCGAACATTATCGAAAACAAAAAAAGAAACATTATTAAGTCAATTTTTGTGTTGATGAACGATATTTAATAATATTATTTTGACCACCACCATCATCATCATCTTCATCAATAATATTATCTTCATCATCAATCATTTCAACGAATGTATCAGCTGTTTCAGTTTCATTTTCATTATCATAATCAATTTCATTATCATAATGATCTTTCATATCATAATTTGAATTATGTAAATATTCTTTTTTAGTTATTGAAGAATCAAGATATGAAGAATCATCATAGATATTTTTCGATAATGTTCGACGTGCTTTTTGTAATTGACGTGTACGTGGAGTTGGTTTATTTAATAAGAAATCATCAGCTGTTTCAAAATCATCATAACCATCTAAAAATATATTTCAAAAACGGTATATATGTTTACATAATAAATATACAAGCAAACAAACCTCTTTCAATTTTAACAATTAATGGTGATTGTTCAGAATTTTGATGTTGATTACGGAATTGTATAATAGCCATTTGTTCATCTTCATCTCGATTATTAATTTCTTGTTGTACTTGATTCATTTCAACAGATTGTTGTTGTTGTTGTTGATGTTGATGTTCTTGTTCCTGATCATCTTCAATTTCTTCTTCATCAATTATTGTTGCTTTTTTCATAGCATCAGCATCAAAGGGATCAATATGATGTACATCATAATGATGACGTTCTATTGCACGTATATGTGGAAATTTATTTCGACATATCGAACAACGATAAACAGTTTCACGTCGTCGCATTTGTTGTTTTATTGGTGATGTTGATGTTGTTGATGAACGTTGAGAATTTTTCAATGATGATGAATATGGTCGTTGACGAATTGATAAACCTCCAGCAGGCATTTTAGCATAAATACCACAACGATGAACTTTAGTTACATGTTGACGGAGATCACCACGAGTTGCATACATTAAACCACATTCATTACATTGAAAAGTTCGGTCATCTAAAAATAAATTCGTTAAGTAACCTGTTATTTCCTCAAAATAACAAACCTCGATGTTGTGAATCCATATGATCATCAAGTATATCTTGTGAAAATGTTTTATATGTACACAATGAACAACTAAGTTGAACACGTGGTGTATTATTAAAACTATTATTATTATTATTATTTAATCCATGATGCATTTTTTTATGTTGACTTAATTCATGTCTAACAACAAATAGAAGGAAAACTTTTTGTTAGAATTTCAACAAAAAAATCTTAACATACGGATCGGCAAATTCTTGATCACATTTAAGACATGTTACAAAATCTTCATCATTAGCATGTTTTTTTAACATATGTTGTTTAAGATCAGCTTTACGTGTTAGTACAGTTGGACAATAAGTGCAATGAAATTTTTGTGCATTTGTTTGATGTGTTAACATATGTGCTTTTAAACTATTGCTTTGAGTAAAACGAAATTTACATATCTATTCAAATAAAAAAACATATATAGAAAAAAAACAAAATAATATTTACTGTGCATTGATACGGTCGTTCGCCTAAAAATAAAATGAACAGATAAAAATAATCATGAAAATTTGTTTTCTTTTATTTTTACCAGTATGAACACGTAAATGTCGTTTAAGTTTAAATGTATCCGGACTACAATACGAACAATGTGGACATGAATATGGTTTTTCCTATAGGATAATAATAGATATAAGTGTACAAAAAAGCATAAATATATAGAAAATACATACCCCTGTATGTGTTCGAATGTGACGTCGAAGTTTACTTAATTCAACTGTTGCATATCCACATTCTTCACATTTATGTGGTTTTTCAAGTGTATGTCTTTAAAACAAAAAATATATATAAGAAATATATTCATAATTGATACTTACTTATAACGTACATGACGAATTAATTCGCCACTTGTAGTAAATTTATATTCACAAAATTTACACTAAAAAAAGAAGCCAAAAGGTATTAATATGTATTTGAAAAAAAAAACGAAAATTACTTGAAATGGTTTAATACCAAGATGAGTATTAACATGATTTTGTAGTTGTGCTGTTGTTTTAAATGTATTTGAACAATAAGCACCTAGAAGAAAAACATGTATATATAAATAATATAAGTTTATATGGATAGTTTACATTTATGTGGTCGTTCTGTTGAATGAGATTTTAAATGACGTTGAAGAAGATATTTTTTACCAGTACAATAATTACTAAACAAGAAGAAAAATAAAATTTAATTTATTATAATATAAGAATAAATTTATACCAATAAGGACATAAATGTTTTTCATCACGACGAACTTTAATTGGTGTTTTAGTTGAATCACGTGATGAATTATTATTACCAACTGAATTAACCGTTGGAAGTTTTTTACGATTTGATGTTTCACTAAATTCATAAACAGATGGATTACCATCTGGACCTGATGGACTTAAAGTCACATCAACAGGTGTAACTGTTGAAAAATCTTCTTCATCATCATCTTCTTCAGCATGCCAATCTTCATCATCATCATGTAATGGTTCACGTTTAGCAGGACGTCCACGACGTCTTTTAACAATACCACTATTGGTATTATTTTGACTAGTGTGTCGCTGTTGCTCTTGTTTTATCCGCGCCACCGGCAGTTCGTCAATGTCGTCATCATCATCGTCGCCCTGATCGTCTTCAAAAGTACGTTCATCATAATCAGGATCATCAGCAAATTTAACATTTAAACTTGATCGAGATCTTGTAGAACGACGTATTCGATTTGCCATTATGAATATGTTTGATTTTTTTCTTGTCTTTTCTTTATTATATTGAATTCTTACAAGAAAATAAAGTTAAGAATGTGGAGCCACTAAAATAAATGAGATAGGGGGCAGCGTGGGGTAACGACGTCACTGCTTGTCGAAACAATACAACAGAGGTCATTGTGTGTCTACAGATAACCAATAAATGAATACATTCAAGGTCAGTAGAAATTTTTATGGAAAATTTTTATTTTAATTCTATTATATTTTTTAATTTCGATTCAAAGAAATTTATTAACATGATTAAGTTGAATATAAACAACAAGATGGCGCTACTGTGCAGTGTATGATAAATGAAATAAACGAACGACTATTTCATATATGTCTACTTCTAATTAATGAAGATTTAAAAATATGTTATTTTGAAGCGTATATTATACTAGATTTATTAAGTGTTTAAGTCAGAACAATTATTCGTATTGAATTGAATCATATCGATATCGATGCATGATTTAGCTAATTAAATATAATATAAAGGGAGCGCTTTTCGATGAATTTTCAGTGCTTCTCTTATTCTCATTCGTAGCTTGGTCTAACGCAATCTTTAATATTTGTTATTCGTAAGTGTTAAATTCCTTTCGTAAAAACAATGGTTGGACTAGACTAAGAAATCAAAAATTATTAAATGAAATCAAGCTATTTCTATGTGTATACATTATTTATTTCTTTTTCGTTATTGAACATAATATAGCAATAAGGATGCATATGAAAAGTAAATCGACTTTTTTCTTGCATTACTTAATCGTTCACTTCATAGCTTTGATAATGAATGAAAACCTTAAGTATTCTATTATCTTTTTAGATGTTGATCATATAATTTCTTATTAATATTAAAGATAAAGATAGCATAAAAGTGGACGATTATCTTAGTAACTTTTTTTTCACATAGTTTTTCTATGCATATTCTTCAACTTGTGGATGATTTGTACAATACTCTATAGTTGTTTGATTTTTTATTGTTAGTATACAGATGGGATGCGGAACTATGATGTCCTCTGAAATAGCAACTGCTTGTTTAACTTGAATGATCGAAAAAAGATTTGACGGCCTTTCTTTTCGTTATAGCTGTTTGAAATGGAGAGTTGAAAGAGGTATTCATATTATAATACACAATATACTTTCGTTATTCTTTCTATTCGAAGAGTACGCGAGTCTAGTATTACTTTTTGTTAAAAACTTTCAACTATTTATTTATAAACAAATTCAATTAATATCTATCCTGGTTATCAGTGTTTTTGTTTTTGTTAGTATGTAGAAAAAATATTATTAGTGGGGAAAAAAACATTCTATTTTAAAAAGAAAATAATATGAATTATTGTGATATAAACTGTTTCTGTTTCAATTGAGATATGAAGTTAACCACTTGCCGTAGATGTTGGCATATATGACTGAGATGCCAGAGCAGTATCAATGTTTTGTTGAGATACTTGTCCTATAAACTGACAGCCCAATACTTTCATAAAAAATAGCAAAAATAAATTCATTGTACTAATAAGAAAAATTATATGCTTACGAATATGGTTGTTGATATCAGTCGTATTAATCAAAATAGAGGCCAGATTTTGTGCAGTTAAGAACGGAAAACCAAAAACTTCTTCTACAATAGCTAATGACTGATTACTTGCATTGTTAGTAATTGTTTGTAAAAATGGATTTGAAAATCTTGTCCAATCAGAAGAATTTGATGAACCATTCACTAAATTATTACATTCTATCAGTCGATTTTTAACACAAGTACTAAGACTTGTATTAGTAATATATTTTGATTCATCATTTTTATGCGAACATGAAGTCGAATAGTAAATATTAAGTTCACCTATTTCATATAATCCAATTTCTATTTGACGTCGACGACGTCTATTAAAATTACTTGTATTACCAGAAAATGCACGAAAATTTGTTGCACTACAACCTTTTAAATTTGCCACTCCATGATCTCGATATACTGAAGTAAACTAAAGAAAACCATATTCAAATTCTAATAACAAAAAATTCGATTATGTAATTACTAGTAATGACAAATCTCGACTATCAGTAACGCTTGCATTATTAGCTGTAAAAGAAATATTCTGACCTAAAGCTTTAATAACCAATGTCTTAATTTGATAATCTAAAAAAGTTTATTTATTCATTATAAACTTCTTTTTTGAAAGTAATATACTTATACTCACGTTCACCATATCCGATTTCACCACGATTTGCTGTATAAAGTGGAATAAGACTTAACACGATTATAGCTGCAACAACAAAGAACATAATACTGAGACAAAGCAATCCTCCCATAACTAATTTGGGTGCATATCGAGCTATTATTGTTCCAGAACCATATTTAGCCATGTTTTGATATATAAAGAATAGTCTCTAAGTAATCAAAACTATACTGAACAAGTCAACCACTTTTTGCAACTTATATACGAACTATTTATTTTCCAATGATGAGTAACTTCTCGGTATTTTTCTTAATAATATATATATTAACACATATATGATATAAAAAGATAAAATAATGCCTTAAAGGTGTCATACAAGAACATCTTGATGATTGATAATTTAAATGTGTAAAAATAGTTCTGTCATTTAGACATCATAGACAAAAATCATATTAAATATGTAACACTTTTTACCTATCTATTATTTTATCTTTCAAGGTTAGTTTATAAATATTTGAATACGATCGAAGAAGTCATGAATAGAATATTTTGTCTAAATCGGACGTGTTTTGATTGAATAACAAAATGTAGATCGAGTAATAAGAATTACTGAATTATTTATTTATATATTTCTGTCACACAAAAAGAAATATATATATATGTGCTTTTCTCATAAATATAGAAAAAGAAAGAGGTCGGATGGATAATCATTTTTTTGGTAAAGATGTTTGAATATCTAATTTTAATTGTTTGATTTGTTTACGAATCGTATCAATTTGTTCAGTTGTTTTTTTCAATTTTTCTTCTTCATTTTGTACAAATTGACTAGAATATATAAAATAATAATTAATTTGAAGACAAAAAAAAAGAATAATTTACCTATAAGGCATAATTAATTCACGCATTTTACGTTCGTTTAGATCTAGTTCTTGTAAAAAATGGTTTTCTAATTGTGTAGTTAAATCAATACGTGTTTTATCAATACGATCTTTCATTTCTTGTTTTATAGTTAAACGACGCATTGGTATTAAATATAAACCAAGTATACCAATTAAACTAGCACCTAAAAGACCAGTCCAATCGAATGAAGCTAATGTAGCTAAAGCTCCTATTAAAGATGAAGAGCTAATTTTATGAGTCAAATAAATATTTTAAACAAACCGAGGCCAACAGCTCCAACTTCAATAGCAGCTGTACCTATCATTGTCGAACGAATTGATGCGGAGAGATCATCAGCTTGAGCACCTGTTGCTGTTTTTTGTTTATAAAGAATCTTTACGTAGAAAATATTTTTATTAGATTTAAAAAAAAGCTAAATATTCGTTTACATTTTGACATTGCGTTTGTAATTGATTAAGTATTTTTTGACGAGATATTGAAAAATCTGTATTAACTTCTGATATTGTATTTTGATTAATTTGTTGTTGTCTTCGTAAATGAATTGTATTACTATTAAGATGTTTATTAAGTTGATGAACAGTTCGATTTGATCTTTCAATAAGCCAGTCACATAGATTACTTACACAGTGATTAATATCTTGTTCAATATTTTTATTAACACGATTATTAAATTGAACTTTTACTTCCGATGAACTACTTGTACTAAATAATGTTGGAATAAGACGTGATAGTTTAATATATTCAAGTAGAAATTCTTCTAAATTATCGATCATATGAAAAAATATATTGTCGATTTTATTTAATTGAAATTTAAAATCATCTAACATTTGTCGATGATATTGATCAATGTCGTTATATAGAATAATAAGTACCTAAACAAAACAAAATCGATTTATATTCTTTTTCTTTGTTTATATTTTACTTGTTCGTCGTCAACAAGAATTTGTTTTCTTTCTTGAACAATTAATAAATATTTATCAAATATACTTTCAGCTATGCCAAGTGGATTTTCAAGTTTTAATCGAAGTTTAACTTTGTCATTTAATTCTGTACGTAAATAATTTTCTAATTCATTTATACCAATTAACTTAAGTGCACTTATGGGAAATATTGGTACAGAAGTATCATCAAGTACTTGACGAGCATTATTACGTACATAATTTAGTATTTTTTCTTTATCAACATCTTGGTGAATTTGATCAATTTTATTTAGAATAATTAAAACTTTCTTTCTCCATTCATGAATACGAACAAGAAATAAACGCTAAATAAATGATATTGATTTGTAAAAAGAAAAACGTTTAGTGTTAATAACATACTTCACTTTCGGAAAATGGTCGATCAACACTTGTTACAAAAAGTATATAATCCGATCGAGGTATAAAATGTTCTAAATAATAGAAATGAATATATTGTAATATCGAACTGTTCTAGAAAATGTCTCAATTACATAAGAGTAATTAGTACTTACTAAACTTGAGGTATCTTAAAAAAAAGAATGACATAGTTACTATAAAAATTAAAAAAGTGATAGGCTTTATTGAATTTTTTCAGTTCGTATTAGGATTTAATTAGGGATGAATATTGCTTGACCGTTTATGGATGTTTTTTGTTACAAGTGACATCGACATTATGATATAAGCGTATGAACTGTATAATAAGGTATTAAAGTCTAATCAAACTTGAAATTCGCTGATCTATGAGTCTGAACTCCTAGATAATTCGTATTATGTTAATTGAGGCTTTTTATCAGAAACTATATAAAGATAATAGTCCTTCTTCTAATGCGTCAAAATGTATCTTGTTGCTTTTAGATATTAATGTAATTGGTAGAGATTTTTGTAATCTATAGGTTACACAGCTCTCAAAAACAAGGATCTCATATTAGTCCGTACAGAACTTCAGTTTTGGTACGGTTTTCAAAGTTGTAGCCAAAAAACCTAGTATCTTTTTTCGTTTTACAGTTTCTGTTAAAAACCTTTTTCACTTTTAAACTCTTTAGCTAGAACATCAAAAGACTTTAAGTCTATAAGAGCTATTATGATGTCGTTCTCTTTCTCTTTACTTCATATTCGTATTAGTATTTGTCGAAGTTTTCAATATTGTACGCTCGCACGGAGACTCGCTCAACTCTTTCTTGTAGAAATGGTACTTCTAATAGAACTAAAGGTTTCCTTTAAAAGATTGCTGTTCGTCCATAAAATGATTCTTAAAAAAAACCAAAAGAATTATCGTTGAATTCGTGCTCCTCGACCTCGATTACCCTTCGGTCAAAGTTTATGAAAACCAATCGTTTTTGTTCCCAGATTAGTCTTCAACCTATCAGTAAAGTGCGGACATACAAGCAAGCAAACAACTTATGTTTGCAAGACTTTTCTCTACGAAAAAGAGAATATTAAATACCTGTAATTTGTTGATGTGTTTGAAGAATAGCATTAGTACCAGGTGTATCAACAATATTCGTTTGTCTTAACCATTCATTTGGTAAATAGATTGATTTAACATGATCTGATTCAATAACATCTTTACGTTTTGTTCCATATTTAAGTATATGAATAACATCCGTTGTAGGTAAAACCCCAGTTGGACATACTTCTTCTTTTTCATTAAGTAATGTATTTATAAATTGTGATTTACCCGAATTAAATTCTCCAACAACAACTAATAAAAATATTGAATCAATATTCATTTGAGCTTCATTAAGAAGTTTTTTATCTGGTGCAGATAATAATTTTAAATCAGTTTGAACATTAATTAGAAGATTTTTAATTCGTTTAACAAGTTCATGATGACTACGATCCAGTAATGGAAGATTTTGATTCTTTAAAGAAGAATGAAAAAAACAAAAGTTTAATAGCGTCAAAAATCACAAGATCTTTCATAAACATGTCGATAGTGAACCATTTCTATTTCTGTTACACATATTTTTTCTTCATCTTATATTCTACTTACAACATTCGAATCACTCAAATGAGACACCAATCTTCGTTGATGTATAATAATCGATCGTAGATTAGAATAATTATTCAATCGACATCTAAGAATTTGTTGTCGACATAAAGATAAACATAATGACATTTTCTTATGTTATCCGAAAGAGAAAAAAAAAGAAAATAGATGGAATAAAGAAATTATTTTTACAAAAGAAAAACAAATTCTATCATATTTATTTTCTTTCAATTCATTCAACATTATCTAACGAAACAGAAAAGAAAAACATGAT